AGGACAGAGAAATCTATTCCAGATAAGCAGAGAGGTTACAGCACCCACTCCTGCCCTCAGGAAGCTCTTCAGCTGGAAGCGAGCGCAGACCAAGCATCGCAGCTGCCCATCTCATACAGGCTTTTTATTTTGGTCACTGTTGGAGAAAGAATAGGGTCTAGCAGGACTTCCAGTGCCGATAAACATGGTTCCTCTTACGTAGGAAGGCAGTGCAGAGCCTGAGAACTAACACTAGCGCTTACAGTGACCAAACAAACACAAGTTCCCAGCTTATTCAAAATGCCGAGCTGCATCTACACCCCGTGACTTGCTCTTTCAACCCAATCCTTTGCAATTCCATCCTGAATCTGCTCGGCAGGCTCAGTGGACCCAGCTACTATCTACAAGAAGGTCCGGACCAGCAAGAGTTTCCATTAATGGGAGCTGAACAACTTTTCCCCATAGATGGGGGCAAGGAAGAAGCATATACAGCTGAGATAAACTCGCCGATAAATTTCTCATCGAGCAACTTGGTGAGAGATTTATCCATAAAAAGAGTATTCATTATAAATACCTTTGTTCATGAGAGGGCAAGAATTGTAAATACATCTGATCTCCGCTCACCTTGAGATGCTTTGACCTAACTATATGACAATAAAAACTAAATATTCTCACACAGGGAAGGAAAGGGGGGGACGCTGAGAAGCAGAAACAACAATAAAACAAAACCTGTGGATGCCACATTGGAGAAAGAGTAAGCCATAAGGGTCACGAGCTGTGGGAACCCCTGACCAGTCAAGATGGCTCTGGTTTCCTCCCGTGCCACACATGCCTTGTGCTCTTGCACCAGAGCTGATCCCAGCTTTACAGAACTAACAGCCCACCGAATCAAGGACACGGGTGTTAGCAGCAGCCTGCTATGAAATCAAAGCACCAACAAGCTTGCTGTTAAATCAGAGCTTCCAACTAGAGGACAGCGCTGGGCTTGGTGAGAGCACGTGCATTTCTACGTCAAGAAGTAGGCAGAAGACCACCAAGGCTACTCAACATTGCCCACAAAGTACTGCCCATGTTCAGAGACCAAGCCAGGCTTCGCAAGAAGCTAAAAAAAAAAAAAAAAAAAAACAAGATGAAGGCAACTGGAGACAGCTGAGCAGAGGACAGTGCAGAACTGGATCATCAGGGAGAAGGCAGAGAGTAGCCACAAGAGGAAAGAAAACAAAATGAGCCAAAAAAAAAAATGGGTAAAAGGCACAAGTAAAGCAAAAAAAGCAATCAAGCCACAGTAAGCTTAAGGGAATTATTTAATGGTGATCAAATTGCAACACATTACAGGCAACTGGAGACAGCTGAGCAGAGGACAGTGCAGAACTGGATCATCAGGGAGAAGGCAGAGAGTAGCCACAAGAGGAAAGAAAACAAAATGAGCCAAAAAAAAAAATGGGTAAAAGGCACAAGTAAAGCAAAAAAAGCAATCAAGCCACAGTAAGCTTAAGGGAATTATTTAATGGTGATCAAATTGCAACACATTACAACAGTACAGGTAGTGTTAGCATAGATCTAGTCACACACACTTCCAGGTGAGGGGAGGGCAGGGAGGCAATGGCTGCAGGAATCCCTCCCAAAGCCTCTGATCGCTGTTACTCATGCAGGGGTTGGTCTCCACGCATCCAGAAAACTGGACAGCAGGTTTTTTCCTGCTTTTAACCTTCCACCAGGTGCCCTCAACACACTTCTTGTCCCTGTGCATTCCCTGTAGGAAACAGCTTCTGCCAAACCCCAAAACAAGTAAGATTTCCAACTTTGATCATGGACTTGCTCTGAGTCTACACAAAGGAGCCGAGGAATGGAAGGAAACAATAACCAGGGGGGAGGAAACTCCTTTCTAGCTATCTGTAGGAGGCAGAGGGAGGCTTCCCTAATGCTGCAGGGATGAGAGCAAAACTGCTCCAGGGTTAGTCAAAGAGGACAGCCTTCCTTCTACCCAAATATACCATGGGGCTTTTATTCTTGCATGAGGTGGCTTCCAAGCTCTGCCTGGGCAAGCAGGTGTACCTGGAGCCTAAGCCCAAGGGCTCCTCCATCTGGAGTGGAAGTGCCGAGCATGTTCAGAGATGTTTTGTTAAGTTATCCAGGTTCTTTAGAGCAAGGTGACATACGAGTAAGTTTTAACTGCTTTGAGCAGTAGTTTTCTTCCACACCTCCCACATGCCCAGGTCTTCTGCCATGCTCTCCCCTGCAAGAGCTGCTTGGGCACAAGGAAATCCATCTTTAACTGGGCAAAGCACTTCCCATTATTCTTCCTTTAGGCTTCTGATCTTCTACCGTACATCAGAAATGGGAACAAGAACAGCTCTAGAGCCATTTTGCTGCGGTGAATAGCAAGAAGATGACTAAGACTGTCAGAAAACACAGCCAGGCATTTCTGTCAGCAGCTGCAGCTACCAAAAGCAAGGAAAGCCATGGCCTTCAGTGGAAGGGACAGGTTAGTTTGCTTTACTGAGCACGCTAGGGACACAAGATCACATCCAACTTAGTCCCACTGTTTTTTCTGCATCATTCGATGTGTGCAGACTGAACACAAAAGTCTGCAGACACTTCAGTATGCAGCTTACTTGAAAGCACTGGTACAGCAAGATAATAACAACAAAAAAAAACCCACAAAAAAAAAAATCACTTTTGCATTGCCAAAAAGCTATTAAAGAAATGCAGCAGCACATACTACCGACAAGCTAGATATTTCAAGCACAGTAATCAGGTCTCCAATACTGCCCAGAATCAGCTCCATCCCAGCCCGTAGGTCCATGGACACCGGACTCTAAGCCGTGGTAACATTTAAGCTACCTGGCCACTCCTGCACACAGACGAGTGGCTACTCAGTATTGAGCTGGAAGAGTTTCTGAAATACATGGGATCACGTTCTCGTATGCAAGCACAGCACACGTACACAAACAGCCCCTGAAAACTCAAGTTACAGGCAACATGCACTACAGTCGGCATTATTTGACAGTGCATATACCAGCTGCTTGATAGACACAGTGGTCCTACAAGATCTACATGTGGTGCAGCTCACTGAACTTGGAGTTATTTGTCTTCTGGTTCACTTCATTGCAGTGGACGGGTGCAGATGAACACAAGCAATGCATCTAGTCACGGTGTTTCATCTTTACAGCATTGCCAAAGCTCGAGGAATCTAAGCAGCCCAGCATTTTTTTCTTTTTTTTTTTTTTTTTTTAAATAAAACACATTTGCTTAGCACATGACAGGAAAAGGGAAATTGCATGTAGAGTCTACATCCATAGAAGTCCCAGCGCAAAGAAAGCCATGCAAAGTGTAGTAGTCAACTTAAAATACTAAATCAAGCAAAAAAATTGGACAGGGACTGAAAAAGTTCATGACGTGACAAGTTTGGAGTTCCTAGAAAGGCAACGACCAGAGCCCCTGGCTTCTTGTGCTGTTTTGCATTAGAACATACACAATACATGGTTTCAAAAGAGCAAGTTTCTAGTCCCAAAAAAGGCTAAGCTGGATCAGGTTTTAAGTTAAATCCTATGAAAAAAGGCTCCTTCATCTAGTCCACAGTACAACCCTCAACAACAAATGGTCAACCCACACGAGGGACAGCATTCGTACTCCCTACTTAATGATCATCAGCCTTGCTTTTACTATACCACAACTTTTGTCATGCCATCAGCAAGAAAGTCTGTTTAAATACTTCACTGCAAATATGAGATAACCATCCCAACACAGGCAGATGTGTTAATACAGTATCTAAGCTGAAGTTGTTACAACATTCAGGACTCTATGTTGTTTCAATTCATGTATGGCTGTATTACTTTCCTGTCGCCTAGCGTATGTGACTTCTGCCCCACCAGAAAGGAAAATCATCATCCTCAACTTCTGCACTTCTTGCTGCTCCCTTCTCTCTCTCCCCTGTACAGGCCTCTGATCTCTTCCAGTAACTGCCAACGTCAAACACCAGCCAGATCCACCTCAAAAATCATTCTTGGGTGGCTCACTTGTAAAGCAGTTAGGGGGAATCCCAAAAAAAGAGCTTGCTGCAAGGTTTGCAACCACTCCAACCCACCCTCCCTGTACTTCTCAGAAAGTGAGTATCTGGTGACCCCACTGCAGAAACGCGGGAGGATGACTCCACCATCGCTGATGTCTGTTCACAGAGGGTCTAGCAGGAGCGTTAGCCTGCATGTTAGAACAGTTTAGTAAAAGGCCAGACATGGTTAAAGGTTAACACAAAACCAAGACACACTAGCAGCCACTAGCTTACACTCTAGTTTTGACAATGCAACAAGTCTTTAACCAGGGCCACACACTGCTTTCCAAACCAGTAAAGACACCAACACCTTGTGGCATAACATAAGAGTGCCAAGAGTTTAAGATGACCCAACAGGCAGTTCATACTCCTGCACACCGAGTTCTCCCCCTCCCCAGTAGCTGTCATCCCTGCGTTGTCTCTCAGCCAGGAAACACAGCCACATGCTCCATTTCTTTTCCAGTGAAGCTCTGCTCCACTGCTTTTAGGGCTGCTTCGTCCCCACGCAGCAGCGTCACATTGCTAGAGCGGCAGTCTTCGTGCCTGCGGGAGATGCACACGTATCCCAGCTTCACCTACAGCTCGCTGTAAGAGGCCTCCAAGAAACACTGCTAACATTTACATCCAGCGGTGCACACACGAGGACATTGAGAGATGAGACAAGTGGAACAGATTTAGACCAAAAGCAGTGGACATTTATTCCTCATTTGTGCAAGAGTGTAAAGATGCATTTGAAAATGGCTGGGACAGACCCCTGTGGCTGGAGAGCTGGAGGCTACAGCCTCTCCTTCATAGTCGATGGCTTTGTTTACAATTCTACTAAGAGGAGATAAACTCGCAGACTCACCTAATTCACACCAACGATGCTGGCAAATACACTTGTATACAAAGAAAAGTTTCAAACTACATTTCACTAGATTCAAGTGAAGACTTTGTTCAAAAAAAGACACATACAAGTACAATTTAAAACTGTATGAACATTTGCAAATGTTTAGTGCAAAGTAATTATGTAAAAGCTACATTTTATGAAAGTTTGTGCTGATGTGTTTGGTAGGTTTTTTCTTTTTTTTTTTTTTTACCCTTTTACATCCATTATTTTAGTTACATAAGGTTTCACTTACCTACAGTACATATGCATTGTGTTAGGTCCCATGCAAGTGGGAATAATACCATTAGACTTTGTAAAATGTCACTCAGATTCTCATTTAGTAAACTGCTTATTTGGTTTAACAGTCAAGTTCCTGGCACACTACACATCCTGATTTCATGTAAGTGCTTAAGCTTATGTTTGTCCTGTTCAGGTGCATAGCCTCGTGTGATGCAAACCAAACTGCTTCATGACTTCCAAATGCAACCATTCGTGAATGCAAAAGTTTTAGAGAAATCCACCATTAGTTTTAGCCTGTAACAAACTGCTCTTAAAATTAAAAGCCTATTCACACAAAGTTATATGTAATGACTGTAGTAATCAGTTTATTACACAGATTAATCATTCTTGAACGTACAAGCTCCAGGGGAGCAGTTGGGTCTTTAAATATACACAAGTTTTCTGTCAAATGGATTTTTACCCTTACATCCAGAAAGACCTAAGCAGTTAAAAAACCTAAGAAAAACAAGAGCTATTAGCTATGTATTAACTGAGAAACCACATACAAACCAAAAAAAAGTATGAAGGAGGGGAGAGAGTTGAAACAAATCAACATCACTTGATGCACTAATAGCTCCAATCCATTTAAATGTTGACCGGTTAAACTTAGACCTTAAACACAGGATGTGGGTACAGTTTATCTCATTGGTCATAACATTTACCTAAGGTGTAGGTCCTTCAGAATAAAATGAATACAGAAACAGCTTCAAGTTCTTCACCTTGGTTTTCATAACTGTTATGAGTTTAAAAGGATTCCACTTAAAATCCTTCACGGATCGGCAACACTGTCCCTAGAAATATGAAATCCACCATAACTCTCCCATTCACATTTTATTACCCAATTTAAACCAGCAAGGAATGCTTTTAGGCTCACAAAGTTATGACTGAAGAACCAGCTTTTCACACACACACTTCTCTGCTAGGAGTCAATGTTGGTACGGGGAAATACAGTATTTCTATTTTGTTGTTCCAAGTATGTACAACACGCAGCACTGCTGTATCAGGTAAACATGTGCACAGGGGAAGATGAGGCGTGGGCTCATAGAAAGCAGTCAAATGGAAATCAAAAGGACTTTCTCTTTCAGAGTTCCCCTATCTTTATTTGTAGAGGTTATCCAATAATTTCTTTAATTACATCGCATACTTCTGAGTCCATTCCCGAGCTATTCTGTTGTACCTGTATGTATAAAAAGAGGATTTACTTAACATAACATCCGAACAGCATTTCGACTCCAGCAGTCTAGTCTACACATGGCATGAACTTACATTCTCTCCAGTAGTATCATGAATTTGTAAAATTTAAGAGCAAATTGAAATATTAGGCAAACAGGAGAAACAAGAAAGCCCACAGTACTTCATGGAAAAGAAATAACTAGTCATATTTACAACAGGAATACGAGACCTTTGCCACGAAACAGAACTAGCACAGGTCTGAGGGGCAAGTGTTTTCAGGAAGTCTTTACCTGCACCTCCCCCAGCCTCTCCCCTCTTTATAGCCAGAGCCACTGCTAGGGGAAGCTCAGGATACTTATGTAAAACAAAGCAGTCATTGTGATTAACAGTACTGATAAAAGCTTATTTCTGACAACAGAAGGCAAGCTGTTCTTGTTCTACAGAATTTGTAGAAAAAGCATAAGACACTTACAGCAAGAAGTTTCCTAGTTATGTACATCAGCTAGGTTCTTGTGCTGGAATTTAGTCTTATAGACAACATTCTTTAGCTTAAAGAATCTGACAATCCACTCGTGAAGGCAAGAGCATTTGTTACTTCGCTGTTCTGAGACTACTCAAGAAGCAAGCCCAGTTATGTTTAAGCACAAAATTTATTTCCCTATTTTTAGAAAAAAATAGGAAAGTCCTGCATACATTAAGTGCAGTCTGTTACTGTTAGCTGCGTCTCGAAATACGTACTGCTACTCTTGCAGCTCTCATTCAAAACAGGATGCATGAACTTCTCTAACACTGCTTCTCAAGTATGCACTAGAGTAAGCAAGTTTGTGGATCTTTTTCCCTTCCTATCTTGTTCTCATCAGATGACCACCTAGTTTCAGAAATTAACACTACTGATCAGATCTGGAAGCGAACAGTGAGATAGAAAACTGTTTACAACAGTCATTAAGCTGTTGCTTTTGAAGTGCTCATTAGGGCTAGAGTTCTCTCCATTCTTGCTGTTTACTTCACAGAAGCTTGGAGTCCTCCCACCCCACCTCTACACCACTTGTTCTTCCCTTGTGTTGTCAAATGAAGATAAACAGGGTATTTTTGTAATTTCTTTGCTTGTATGATTCCATCACCAATAGCTAGCATGGAAATATTTTCCCACTAGAGTAACTTGTTCTCCCTCTGCTGGTTACATAGAATTAAAGCAGGCAGTGAAGGCTCTTAAAAGCTGGTCACATCCAACTTAAGAGCTCCATAGGAAACAGATTTGCATTGTTCACTTCACATTTTCATTAAATCAAGCAAATCTGTAATTAACAGCTACAACACTAATGAAAGACCATTGTGTGGAATGAAAATGCAGTAATAAAACTACAGAAGTACAAGGCCTCTAACATCCTTCACTTCTACTGGCATATATACCTTTTTCCTACAGCAGTGCAACGCTCTTAAGATAGCTGTACTACAGATCCCAAGAAAAAAAAAAATCTCTAAAAAGACCATAGTTAAAGTGAAAAAGGCAAATCAAAAGTTCACACTCTTTTCCAAGAAGCAGGTCCTTTCAGTTCCCCTTTACTATTTAAGTGTGGATTCTATTCTGTCAAGAACATTACGTAGTTTTTGGCTTCCATACTCACTTTTCTCTATCTGTTTTGTAGATCCGTGCAATCTCAGGCACTAAAGGATCATCTGGATTGGGATCACACAACAGAGAACAGATGGACAAAAGTACTACGGAGAGAAAAAAGATACTGAATTAGACTTCAAGTGCAGCTGAAGACACCTGTAGAAGTCAGCCCGCCCACTTTCTTTCCCTCTAGCCATTAGTATCAACATCATTTTTTAAAAATGCCAAGGAGCAGTAATCCCACATACTTCAGCCAGTTATTTTGAACAAAAATCCTTACCATTTAACTAGACAACTTTGCATGACCACAAGTTTTTAAATATCACCACCACAACTGGGAACCTCCTGGAACAGGTGTGTCTGATAACAGCCTTAAATCACAAGGCAGAAGTGTTCTATCTGAAACCATACCTGAAAGCCTTTTCAGAAAGCACCTTGCTTTTGCACTTGAAATTCAGCTTTTCCCTAAACCAGACAACCTCATTGTTAATGACTTGCAGAAGCACTAATCAAAAGTCAAACAGCAGACAGATCCAACTGAGATGTAAGAAGCACGAGCTGTTCACAGATACTTAAGAACTGTTTAAAAAAAAAAGCTAGTCTTGCAGAGAATTAAGAGGCTTTATCCAATTATTTTCTGAGCGTAAGGTAGGCTGAGATGGATTAATTGTAGAATAGTATTCAAAATGAATCAAGAAAGCATAGCTTACTGCACTCATACCAATGACAAAGCCCTGAACTTTAAAGTTTCAGTATAAGTAAATATTGTATATACCCCAGAAGCCCCATCCCGCTCATATGATGCCGCTCAGTGTAGCGTCAACCTGCATCCATATAAGGAGTCAGGAGACTGCCTGAAAAGCTACAAATAGCACGTGCGCATTCCTACACTCACACCAAAGTAGAAGGAGATGAGAAGGCAGTAAGTTATAAGCAAAGCATATCGGGACAACACTACATGAGGCATGTCAGGGATGTCTTGCCGCCCTAAGAAATGCCAAACATTCCTTTGCATTGCTTTCTCTCAGCCTGTTTTAATCAAACACTGCCACTCCGTATGTCCCTTCACCAATAGCAGCAACAGCAGAGCTGTCACAGTGCATCCTCCAAGCAAGTTGGAGATGACAGCAGTTAGAAGTTTGAAGGCACTGAACACAAATCTGTTCAAACGTCCATCAGTTGTTTCTGTGCCGTGGAGCAGGAGGCAGAGCTACCGTGCTGAAAGACATCAGCTGAAAAATGAAAGAGAACAGCATGCATTCCACTACTCTGCTTGGAGGGTGGGGGGAATGTGGTCTTTTTTTTTTTTTTTAAGGTAGTTTAAAACAGAGATCACAAAACAAAGAACACCTACACACAGCCAGAGAAAAAGGGGAGAATAGGTCTACTATACATAGAATCATTTAGGTTGGAAAAGACCCTTAAGATCATCAAGTCCAACCATAAACCTAACACTGCCAAGTCCACCACTAAACCATGTCCTGAAGTGCCACATTTACACAACTTTTAAATACCTCCAGGGATGGTGACTCCACCACTTCCCTGGGCAGCCTGTTCCAAGGCCTGACCCCTCTTTCAGTAAAGAAGTTTTTCCTAATGTCCAGTCTAAACCTCCCCTGGCGCAACTTGAGGCCATTTCCTCTTGTCCTATCACTGGTTACTTGGGAGAAGAAACCAACCCCCACCTCGCTACAACCTCCTTTCAGGGAGTTGTAGAGCGCGATGAGGTCTCCCCTCAGCCTCCTCTTCTCCAGGCTAAACAGCCCCAGTTCCCTCAGCCGCTCCTCATCAGACTTGTGCTCCAGGCCCTTCACCAGCTTCGTTGCCCTTCTCTGGACACGCTCCAGCACCTCAGTGTCCTTCTTGTAGTGAGGGGCCCAAAACTGAACACAGGATTCGAGGTGCGGCCTCACCAGGGCCGAGTACAGGGGCACGATCACCTCCCTACTCCTGCTGGCCACACTATTTCTGATACAGGCCAGGATGCCGTTGGCCTTCTTGGCCAATATTCATGTAAACTGGAGAAGATTTTTTCAAAGCGGGACAAAAGTGAAAGCTTCACTAGGTCTTAACTGAGCTACTTGCTCAGTTATGAGAACACCAAGGACCCAGAAACCCAGTTAGTTCAGTTTTCCTACATAGTTCTGTAGACCCTTCACTAATGAATTATCAATTTCAAAAATTAAAAGCTTCTAGAAGAGGTTTAGTAATAAACTGCTCCTGAATTAAGTGAACATATTTTTTGTTCTAGAACAAAAAACAACCTCTTTCTCCTTTTCCTGACTTTCTTCTGTACACTTGTGAAAGACTTAAAAGCTTCATTATTCTCTACCATCAACCGATACTCGGACCATTTATTCAACTACCTCTCAGAATACAGCTTCAGAGTGTGAAGACTTTAGTTTTGTGCTGGAGGTGTGTAGAAGCCACTAGTCCTGAACTGCTGTCCCTTAGCAAGAGACACAGCACCGTTAGTACCTGTAGTGCTTTCCACCAGCTTCAGCACTGGTTTTTTTTCCCCCACATACACTGAGTAAAACTCACATTAGCGTTCAGTAACGGGAATCTCTCTGCCGCCTTACACGCAGCTGCTGCCAGTAAGTTTAGCTTCAACACAGTCACTTCTCCAGCTATTTTCCTGTAGCTCATTTCTTTGTATTTGTCAGACTCCACTGCTCTGGTCACTGAAGTTTCTTCAGCTGGTAGGATGAATAAGACAGCTAACATCTGTCCCCTCCCTCTAACAGAAGCCGCAGGAAATTCAATCAAAGTTTTCTGGTCAACTATTGTAACTACTCCCTCAAGTTTTATCTTACCACAGTCCTTTAATAACCAAGGACTTTTTTGAACAGGATGGCTCACCCTTCGTCAGCAGAACCAAGTTGCAAGTCTGCCCAGTCCTCTCTGACTACCTTCCCCAACCACTGTAATGCCCCTTTCCCCGACACCCTCCTTGGGTGGGAGTTCCTCCTTGCAGACCTCGCATCAGCCTTGCAAAACCCCCACCACCACCTGCTCCAAGCACCAGACCAGACAAAGGTGGTGTTCAGCTGTTGGTCGCATGGGCACCAGGACAACCCCGGTGTTGCTTTGTGTCCTCCAGACCAACAGCAGTCCGACAGGCTGACGTTGCCCACAAGCCAGTCTTGTCTAGCAAGATGCAAGTCTGCCTTGACCAGCACCTCCTTTGCTGAAAGGAAAGGGAGAGCTAACCCCGTCCCAGTCTAGGAGTTTTAGTTCTTGGTTTACAGGCTAAAAAAAATCCCATGCCACTAATACTCTTTACTAAAACGGGTTATGGTTTGTGAGAACTCAATCAGTAGCTAAATGCTTCCTGTGATAAATTCTGCCAGTCTAGTCACTTCAAAAAATATCTCTAGATTTTGTTCCTCAGCAGTTTGCTTGTTTTATAAGAAGTATCACTCCAAAAACCTTGAATAAAAATGGACACAATTATTTGGCTTCAAGCTGCACTGCTACATTCAGCTGCTTTGTTTTATTTTTGTAAGTCTTCATTAATCAAAACTATTCTCCATTATGCTTGCTCTTGCTGGTAACTTCACATCTTTCCCTTTTTATCTGTACAGCCTCAGCAAGAAAAACATTTTTAACTGAGAGTTATCTAAACTGGTTTAATTTTAATAGCCTGCTGAA